CTGGAAGTGGGGAGCCACGAGCTGAAGGCAATAGTACAGCTAGTGGGGCAGTGGCCTCACCTGCCAGGGCCCAGCCGCAGCACCCGAGCAAGGTGACCAGAGCAGGCCCAGAGATGATGGCCAGGTTCAACAGTCTAGATCATCAGGCAAATTTGTGGCAGTGAGGCAAGCCCAAAGGCAAGCCAGAGTGTCAATCTGCAGGTCAAGATCAGGATCACATCTGGTGAAGGTAAATAGGGTCAAACATAGTGCAGTGATTGCCAGGCAGGTCTATAATGTCAATAGTAAACAGATCAAACATCAAGATGGGAAGACAATCCAAGGGTTGAAGTCCAGGTAATTAGATCCATGGACAGGACATGTCCGTGGACAGGTGGAGACTGGAATTTCCACAATGTAGATCAGACAAAGGCTGATGACACAGGCCTGAGCTATAATGAGACTTGAACCTGTGGGCAGGGTGGACAGAAATTGCAGGTGAGGCTGGTCAAGTTCATTAAGGCCTTTCAGTGCACTCAGGGCCCTGACAGGCAGATGGGTTCTGTTTGTGGTCTAAGCAAGGTTTCAGTCTACTGTCCAACTGCTCCCCCAAAGCTTTTGTCTGCCTAAAAAGGTTTTAAAAGCCAGTTTTCAATTGTTACATGGGCCTGAAGTTAGTCTGCAGAGAATGCTTTCTGGGGTAAGAAGGGATAATCCCATGATTCACAGGGATCACAGATAAGCAGAGAAAAGGTGAGACCCTTAAAGACCACAGAAGAGCTGCCTGACACAACAGCTGCTGCCAAAGAGCTGGCTTCTGCCAGCCTACAGACAGGGAGCAAGGGACGGCTGATCTGATTTGGGTCATAGTCCTTCATGTTTAAGCAACAGCAACTCAAAGCCTGAGACTTGCATAGATGTCCTCCTAATCTCCAAATTCCCTCCCTCCTCCCTTTCTGTTCAGGTGAAAGGAAAGTCCAGAGGAAGAATTTCTGCTTCAGGTTGATTTACAGAAAGGCCAGTAAATTTATCGACTCTTTTGACACCACCCCTTTCCTTCCTCTGCTTCCCACCTACCCACCCTATCTTCCTCTTCCCCTCCTCTCCAAGACACGCAATTAAAGAGAAGGCTCAATATCTGCCCAGGAGGAAGATTCTTGCCACGACCGACTCATATTTGCTGCTAATGTGGTGCATAGCAAAGGGACCAGCAAACCAGCAGCCCCTGGGGACATAAACCTCTTCCTCCTTGGGGTATGGCTGGAGTACGTGGACCAAGAAAACCCACTGGTGTGTCTCTAGGTTAATGCAGTGATGTATGGAAGTTTAGTCCCATCCCTCCCTCCCTCTTGCTCCGTTTCTGGCCTTTTCATAGACAAATATACATATATATACAGTCTCTATTTTTTTTTAAAGTGGCTCACAGGACCAAACTTTTCAGACTGACTGCTTGCAAGAGGTATTGGACGTTTGGGGTTTACCTTTGCAACAGTGTCTTCTCAGCACACACTGCAGATAGGCCTGAACATTTTGAGAGGATGCTTGGGGAGAGAGAGGGGGAGGGTGGCAGAGGGTAGGGAGAAAGAGAGGATCATCTCTCTGCTCAACATTAGCAAGAAGGAGGAGAAATACATACCTCCAGGATTAGGGCACAGTCAGATGCTCAGCTCGAGTCACTCATCCACTGTAGCACCAGCCTGGTTAAGGATCTCAAGAGCTCTCAGTCTTACCTTTCCCAGGGCTTCTGCAGACAAAGCTCCTGGAATTTGGTGCCAGACCCCATCCTGACAACTCCCCGATTAGACTGAGAGCACAGGAAACCAGTCACTTTACCTACAGGAACTGTACTGCCTCCCCACACATGGCACAGATCTGTGTTTCATAGTTCTCCATGGTAACAGCATTTTCTTGATGAAGGCAAGAGAAGATAACAGTGTAAGCAGATGCAATCTTCAAAACAGTTACAGGATCCTCCTGGGGGCTACACACTGCCTCCCCGTGTCAGATAAGCTAACGCTTTCCATAAGCTGTAAAATGTGTTGAGGGGGTTGAACGACATAGCAGAGCTGCTTAGTGAGCTGTGCTTATTCCCAGATGAAACAGGACGTTTTCTCCCTCTGAATTCAGCAAGAAGACTCACCTCACGCACCCGTTTGCAAAGCTTTCCCCAGCAGATGCAAGGATAATATGATGAAAGAGGGTTGTCATTCTGTTTTTTCATTTTTCCCAGCACTCCCTCCAAGAGACTGATAATACATTATGCAGCATATATATATATGGACAGCTATATGCACAATACTCTTATGCACAGAATGTAGTTCAGAACTTGATTTAGAAAAGATCCTCTGGGAGCGGGGGGGGTGTCACGCTGACAAGGCACATCCCTTTAACAGTTGGAAACAATCTCTTTAAGTTTCTACAAAAATAAGGAAAGCAAGACAGAACAAACCAACCAACTCCACAGTGATTAATGACTGATTAATTTCAATATTCCAGAGTTTGATAAGGTACCACAAACATTTGGGTGGGTGGGTGGGTGTGGGGGTGTGTGTGCAGTGAAACATGAATAAAGGGTTGGTGGGGAAAGGTTGATGCAATTATTACTGAAGTGAGCTATGGGGATTTTAGAGAATCTTGGCCAACTCTCACTCTCCTCCAGTTTCCCTTTGTTCAGGTGTATGTGGCACAGTTCTATAAGTACCTTCACATCTCCTCAACTACCCTTCTGTATCTGATGCTGAGAGTTTAGGAGAGATGAATGAAGCTGTGTGAGTCTGTGTGTTTCTATAGTCCATGTTTACTTATTGTAAATACCATTTTTATACTTAACATCTATTATGTATGTGATTTGTATAATGTACTTTATTTCTGCTACAAGTAATTTCATGAAGTTTAAACTTAGTCTAATTTTGAACAAAACAAAAAAAAAAAAAAAAAAAAAAAAAAAAAAAAAAAAAACAAAAAATGCAAAATGGAAAAAAAAGGACTTTGGAAATCCTAGGTCAAGCTGGTTTTAAACAAGCATTTACGATTTCTTCCATCACAGTTACTGATGTGACTGTACAATGTTGCAGGTGCGATACAAGCTTTGTCAATGTCAAATTCCTCACTCTGGTCAAAAAAAAAATCCTGAATTTATTTAATAAAAGTTTTACTTGCTAAGTAACTGGGGCTCTACTTCATGTTGTTAGTTGCACCTGCTTTCACTTACTGCACAGTGCTTGCACTTGAAGACATCACCAGAGCCCCGGGGCTGATTTAACAGGTCCCATGCAGTCAGCAAACGTCTGCCAACAGGCCTGTGCCCACAGAATCCAAGTGACCAGTATTCTTTCATAGAGGAAGCATCAACATGTAATACCAGCACATTAAAAAAACTGTTTAATTAAAACAGAGATTAAAATTCTACTTATATGAAACAAGAAAGTTCACAGAATCGAAAAAGCAGTGGAGCAGGATGTCCCAGGAGTGTGCAGACAGAGGTTAAAGCTAGGGCTGAGAGAAGGCTGGATGTAGTAAAAGCAGACCAGGTGAGGCTGAAGGAGGGGAGATGGGAGGAGGGCTAAGACAGAGTGAACAGTGAAGATCTCTAACTCACAGCTAGCAACATCAGAACCATGGCTAAAGCCGGATGAGAGGGAAACCAAGAGCAGTCTTAGGAAAAGAGCTAAAGTTACTTTGCCACCACTGCTGCCCTGCTCCTGCTTGACACCAATAGGAGGCTTAGTGGGATGGTGGGAATGTAGTTAAAAGGGATATAGGATGGGAGAGGAGACAAACTGGGCGTCTTTTAAGGACTGCTGTAGTTATAGTAACTCCTTAAAACCTGGCCCCGGTTGCTGGGGAACAAAACCCAGAGGCAGCACACCTGCTGCAGCCACCAGGGGTAGAAAACCTCCTGCACCCGTGTAGCACCTCCCCGGATGATGGCGAGTGCGGCTTCAGGAGCAGGCGAAGCACTTATGTGCACTTTGCCCCTGGAAAGAAATGGTCAGAGGATCAAAGCCAGTCAATCCCTGGTGTGGTTTTAACTCTGCCACAGGGCTCTGGATGCTCGTGTTCAATGCTGAGGCGGATATGTACGCGACAAACTGGCGGCGGGGACACCGCCACAGCGGGCGCGAGCCGCCCTCAGGGCGCTCACGATCCGCTCTCCTCGCAGGAGCGCGGGGAGCGGCACGGCCCCTCCCGGCCCTTCCCGGCCCCACAACCTCGGCCCCCGCGGCCGCGCCCCCCGAGCCGCCGCCGCTGGGCGGAGCTCCCGGCCCGGAGCCGGTGACGGCTTCCGCAGCCCCGCCGCTGTCGCCATGGCCGCCCGGCTCGTCCCCGTCGCCAAGTGAGTCCCCGCGGCCCTGCCCGCACAGCCCGGCCCGGCGCTCGCCCTTCCCGCTCTGCTCTCTCCACCCGCCCCGCGGCTCCCGCTCCATGGCCTCCCAGGGGCTCCCCGGCTCTCCGGGCCCGTGCCCGCAGCCCCGGCCTCGCCTCGCTCCTCCGCGCCGCGCCCTTGGCCTCGGTCGCCCCCGCGCCCGGCTGGTTCCCGGCCGGCAGCTCCTCCTGTGTCTTCACCTGCCGGACGGGATTGCGGCGGTTTTTTTTCGGGGCGAGCATGAACACGTAACATTAAACCCAGCGTGCCGCGGAAGGGCGCCCGTTTGCCGAGGGAACACGCTCAGATCTGGAAATACAGCCCCACTGGCAGGGAGGAAGCGCGGAAGGGTATTCTCGGGAGCGAACAGTACGTTTTAGCAGAGAAATCCCTTTTCCCCAAAATACGTGTGAATACATGAATTTAAGTATTGATTCTCTTCTTGCCTCTCTCGACAGCTGTATCTGTCCCTATATTCTACTACTGCAGTACCACTGTCTGGCAGGTTTTGGTTTGTTTGTTCATACAGTAGCTTTTCTTGTTTTTTTTTAAAGGGAAAACAATTCTCTGTCCTGTGAATCTGGAAAAGTCAGTCTCCTCAGATCTTATAACGAACTTGCCAGTAAAGGCCAAATACTATCTTCCTGTCATCCAGTTTGCAGGTTGCCACTACAGCTGTAAAACTGCACACCATGCAGTCTGCTGGGAAACTTTAAAAGCCTGGGCAATGCAAACACCATAGCCAGATGTTAACTGGACTTTAATGAGCTTAACGAGGTATTGGTGTCTATCCTCATTAATAAGGCAGCAAGAAGCACATGGATGACTTACCCACTGCAGAATCCGTTAGTTCCTTTTATCAAAGGTATGTGCCAGTGGCAGATACTCTGAGATGCTTGACACTTTTGCCTTTTTTTCGTGAAAACTGTTACTGATAAAATGCGAATAGGTACAGTTTCAAGGGGCTAACAGGGAGCAGTTGGCCTAGGAAGAAAAGGAAGGTAGCTAGATATTTTTCCGCGGCTTTTTGTCTGCAGTAAGACATTAGAGTATTTGTGACCCTTAGATTTCTTTACTAATACCCTCCCTTTGGCAGTCACAACCTACTGAGACATATGCACTGATGGTCATAATGTGAACTGAACTGTTCTGCTTTTGATCCTTTCAGGTTTGTTATCAAAGGAAGCCTGGCTGGAGCTGCTGTATATGTGGCATATGATCAGGGGCTGCTGGGCAGTGGCACACAAGGTGCTGAAGCACTCAAAAAAGCTCAAGCAGCACTGCCTCCAGCTATCCAGGAGTGGACGAGTTACCTAGGCTGGGAGGTAAGGACTGTTTAGATGGACAGTGCAAAACAAACACATTCTCTGAATGAGGAGGAAACATTGGGGTGATATTCTGATTCCAGTGAAGTTGGCAGGAGTTTTACTGTTGAAAGTAGATTTAACATTGCAAATATTTTGAAGAGGATTGAAATGGAAGGAGAATAAAATTTTAAATTTGGGGGAGATACACAGCTCACAGATGTTACTTCAAAGGAGAAGGGGTAACCAGCCTATGCAGGGTCAAGGAGGGGATTGCAAACATGCTCTGGGTGATATTTCACTATGTAGCAGTATTCCTAAGCTTCTTTTGAAGAATCCTACATGCTTTTAGAAAAAACAATGAAAATATTATCCTCCCATATTCTCAAATTGCTAACAGTTCATCAAATTGAATTTAAATTGCCTGAAGAGGCCCTTCTCTATTAGTTCTTAGTTTTTAAAATCCTCAGAAAAGAAGCCTTTGCTTTAAGTTTGAAAAGTATTTTTCATGTTAGAGACAACTATAAACTAAGAGATGACAGCCATGTAAGGAGACAGCCCAAGAGATGTTTTTCACTAACACCCAAATGATGTGTACTACCTTCTGGGGAAAAGAGCAAACCCTAGACTTAAAGTGTCATGTCTGATCCCTTTTGAGACTTAGGGAGAGTAGGCACCTAAGTATTTTTGAGATCTGAGGCCAAGAGGCTTTGCCAATGTGATGTGAATTCCAAGTGAAACACCTCAGGTGCTGATATTTTGTCTTTCTCTTTCTAGCTCCCACCCACTCCAAAATTTGACTTTTCCCTCTCTGATTCCTGGAATAAAGGTAAAATAACTGCTCACCAAGCTCTGAAAGGAGCAAGGGGCCAAGACTGATGTAGCTTACACCAGTCTTGTTTCAACGTTGTCCTCCTAAATTGAATGATGGAGAAGGAGCTGATAGATGTTACAGTCTGGTGGAAGAAGCATTGGGAATGGGACTGAGGAAGCATATTCTGCTTCAGACTAGCACACTGACTGACTTTGGACTTAATTTCTTGTTGTTTCAACTGTGAAATAAGGAGGAGGATGTGTGTCCATAAACCTGTCTGCCTTTTCTAACCGGGGAGCTGGTGTCTCTACCTACAAAGCTTGCTGCCTACCTGTGCCCCAAGACAGGCATGTCTGTACTATCCTAGAGTCTAAGATTGAAAGTTTCAGTAAAGTGTTCAGGGAGGCCTGTGGCCCCCACAGTAAATAAGTAGAGTTTATGCACTAGTGAATTCATCAGCATTGGCAATGATCAAGGAAACTAGAGGATAAAAATAAATGATAACTTAAGAAAGGTGTACCTTTGGTTAAAGGTTGAAGACTACAGATGCTAGTAGGTCTGAACTGAGCCCTGGAATTTTCAGAAGGGATGGTCATTCCTGTCGTTACTAGAATTTTAGACATCTTGTTTGAAGGTTAAAGCATGTTATAAATACCTAGTAATAAATAGTTTTTATGGTGCAGCAAAGAGTCTTTATGTAATTGTGGGGAAACACGGTACACAAATACTGTGACATGTCCAGCATCACCCATGGAGTCTGTGATAAGGCCAGAAATAAAATGGAACTTAGCCCAGTTCTTTGTTTCAGTCTTGTGATTGTTTCATCTCATATAGAGGCCTTTAAGTTGGAATTTCTGTGTCACAAATGGTACTGAGACAATAAAGCTGTACTTCAGACCACAGGGTGTTTGAAAGCATCTGAGTTAGAGCTCAGTTTTTCTTTCTGTGTTTAGAGATCTACAATGCCAGAGTAACACTGGGAAATTTGGCTTGAATGATGATCTTGGGATAATTCTTCTCTGCTTTCCTTGCAGGAGTGCAGTCAGTCATGTCTGCCTTGTCTGTAGCTCCCGCCAGGGCCTGTGAATACACGGTGGAAGGCTGGAAGTATGTGAAGGATCTTGTCAAATGAACACGTTCTCCAGGGTTCATGATTCTCTTTGTCCTGTGTTGTCTTTGAGAGGATGCAGAGTCCGTCGCTCTGGAGGGCAGCTCAGCCGTGTAAGGGCTACAATAAAAGACTTTGGAACTTCAATTTGTATTTGGGTTGGTTTTAGCATACAGATTGGAACAACTGCTTTTCTTTTTCCTAGCAGTGATCAAAGGCTTCAGGGGTCACAGATCATTTGTAATGAAGTGGTGGCCATATGCTGAGGTACTGCCTCTGTTCCAAAGTTGCCAAGCTTGGTAGCTAAACAGATTATTCTGAAGCTGAATTAATCTTGAAAGTGAATGCCATCTTATTCAAAACAAGCCAACAAGAGTTAAAAAAAAAAATTAAAAATCCAAGGTAACAGTAAAAGATGCTGTAAAAGATGGCTTAGGGCGTTTATACAAGTGCAGGAAGGGTAACTGAGCATGAAACATTTTGTTAGGTCGCGATATGCTCCAGTTGGCAGACTCTGCATGTTTTCATTTTAATGTGGATGAAAACTTTTCTGAGGTCAGTTTTCAGTCTCAGCCAAGGTGTGTAAGTAAGGAGCACCAATGGCCTAGAGGGCATCGCTATTGTAAGATGAAGTTACAGACTGAGTCTCTGTTTTTAACCCTTTGTGATGGGATTGTAGCATGGAGGTTGGTGAAGTCGTTATATCATGGCACAGCATCAGTATGAATCTGTTCCCTCCTCACAGGAAGCGTCTGTGTGTATATCAGATGGGTTATTGTAAATGCACAGCTTGTAACCTCTCTGTTCTTGGGTCTCTGTCCCAAAGCTGCTGCTCATGCTTCTAAAACCAGGGACAGGGATGAACCTCGCTGCTGGCAGCAGGGCTGTCATTTCTTCCACACTGATGTGCTAATAACAGTTGCATTGTTCTAGTCTATGCTAGTTACAGAATGAGCTGAGGCACAACTATAGAACAGGAAACAGGCAGTGGTAGGTCGGGAGAGCAGGATGAGTGCTTACTCAAATTAGGAGTCAGATTTAAAACACGAGAATGAAGGATTTGCAGTTTTGTTTCCTTTTTTAACAAACAGTTATATGATGAAACCAACTGCCAAGAGATTTTAGAGGATTTGACTAAGGTATAAATAGCTTTAAGAAGTGCTTAAGTTAATTCCTGAGGGATGGGTCCAAATCTATGGTCCAGATATGGAAGCTACAAGTTTGGTAAACGTTGGAGTTCTCTGTTGTGCAGGTGCCAGATCCTTCACCTCATTCTAGAACCTTGATAACCTCTATCTATATCCCATTTCTTCCTTAACTTCCCAATGTCAGCTGCCTTTGAAGCAGCACAGCTTTTCTTGCAGGAGTTTCTGTCATAGCTCCCCATGTACACACCTCAGAAAATAATGGTGCTAAGATACTTGTGCAGGGCTGCTTATGCAGGCTGGCTCCTGGGGACAAGAAGTTAAACTCCAGATATGAGACAGGAGCTGTCTGCCATTTTACAGCCCCTGTATAGTAAGCTTGCTGCAGCTTAGGCAACTGGCTTTGAAAAGCAGCACGTCTCATAACATAGCTCAGCTTGGGACGCACTGGGAATGTGGGTTTACTGGAATACACCTCTCTTCCCTTAAATTAGAGTAAGAGTCAGTCTGCATGGAAAGCTCAGTCTGCCATTGACTACCCTGTCACTGAGCTTTGGTAAAAGAGAGGACTTGATTTTCCAGAGCACTGTTTAATTTTTACAAGTCATAACCTCCATCTCATCAGGCCAAACCTCCCATTAAGAAAATTCTGACACTGTCATCTAGAGTCTTCATCTCTCTAGCTTTTGCTACAAAATGTAATCACTTTGAACAAAGCACACTGTGTACAAATAGGTAGAATACTGCACCTCTGGTACACTTAGAACTTTAGTTCTCCTCTGTGCTTTTCATGATCTGAACCACTTTTTTGGCCTTTGATGATTGCTCTCTAAAGATTCAACATTGTAATGTGCCTTCTCTATGGATGTATGAAAAAATATCTTCAGGCAACTGATAAAAACCCCATCTCTGAAGATGGAAAAAACCCAAATGAGCCTACAAATGAAAGGAACAGGATTTTTTTCCTCTTGCCATCATAAAAGCCATCCTTGGTGGTTAATGCTGAGGCCATGTTGCTCCAGAGATGACTGCACAAAGACAAATTATAATTTGGATACAACAAAGTGACAGATCATGTCATGATCACGTTAGTTCTCAACACATTCATAAAATGATGCTAAAGCACAGCCAATGGCTGTTACTAGTCTTTTCAAGAAATTATGGACTGCTAAGTAAAATTACTGCCCTGAAACTGATGGAGTTTTGGACTACCCTGATCTATCAGAAGCTAAATGAAATGATTCTGACACACACTTGGAAGAGGTTCACAAGCACCTCTGTGCTGTCTCTACAGAAGCTGTGCTGCTCATTCAGTATGTAACTTCTTTTTCAGAGACTGTAGGGTATTATACTGCACAGTACCTACCAACGTGAGACAAGATGAAAAAAAATTCTTCACCACTTGTCCCACAGTATCCTATGTCAATTTTACAGTGGCAGGGTGTTCAAACTTTGACAACTGCAATCTACTAAGGTTCTCTTATGGTGGCATATAGTCTACTTAATTTTGACAGGTCTAAGGTAACACAGTATTTCAGTGTATTTCTGGGAGTTGTGTGCTACTGAAAGTGCAAAGGGACACCTGTGAGGCAATTTGACACTTCATCTTTGAAAGTTACACGGTTTAACACAGAGCTGAATAAATTAGTTTTACAGGGACTGCTCAAACAAAGCAATTAATTGTAAACTGGCGTTTATGGAAAATGGAATGCTTCATTAACAAACATTTTAAATGGGATATGAACAACACTTTACAAAACAAATGAATTCACATTGGATTGAGTGACATAATACGGCAGCAGCTTAAAAAAAATTACAGTGGCCCATAAGTTACAATTAATAGTAACCCTGGGTAACAGATTTGTTTCACTTGCCACCTTGCATTAAAAATTAAACACAATCAGTAGCGACGGTTGAAACGAGGATCATTCGGTCTGTTTGCTCTCTCCTGGCCAGCAAATCCTTCTCCTTGCATTCCTCCTCCATGCACGATCTGACTTTGATTGCCACCTTGCATGAAACTGCCACGCCTAGAAAGTGATTCAGACATTTTAATGTTCTCTTGTGACTCTGGTGGTCAGGTTGCTAGTACAGGTGTTCTTCCACAATTTTTTGTGTGATTTCTCACTCTTCCATTAGATGCACTACATGAAACCCATAGGAATATTTTATTATTCCTTGACATTTAAGTAACTAATTAAATAACCGATACTCCCATAAAATGTTTCTCTGGCCAGTTTCTATTTAGAAGAAATGCCCCTTAGAAGGAAAACAAACAAACACTTCTCTCCTTTCAAAGTTCCTTACCCTGACATGCCTCCACGATGCATCACATGGCCAGGTCTGCCTCTTCCTCCACCTAAAAAAGTTCAAATGCTTCCTTTATATCTACAGTAATAGTTTTACTTCAGTGATAATGCCTGTAATTTTTCTTCTTTACATAGCACAACTAATGCATTGTTGTGCAAGAAGCATACCTTGCCATCTCTCATGATCCCGTCCTATCATTCCTCCATCCACGCTGCTCTGCCAGGAACGATCTTGATGTCCTTCAAACTTTCGACTGTGATCTCCCCAGTCACGTCCATCCCTGTGAAGGTATGAAATTCATATCTTCTCACATGAGCCAGAGCACACAAAATAGATTCGAGTACAGAAACTAAGTCACAAACTTAAATACTTTACCAAGGTGCATGCAAATCTTATATTTATACTGTTAAGTCAAATCTCAGTAGAATCCTTCTGCTCAAACCAAATAAGATGACAGATATGAAAAAAAGATATCAGGGAAGAACCACTATCCTGAAAACAGCAAGCTTTGATAGGAATGTTAGTTAAAATTAATGGAAAGGATGAAGACTTTAAGATGTGTGGTTATTAAAAAAAAATTCATGCCAAGATGCATGTTTTGATAGACAAGGCAGGCTGAACGAGATACTCGCAGTCCATCCAACACACTCGGGGTTAATGTTGGAAAGAAAGAATTGTACTTCCAAAAACTGCGTCCTACTTCCACATATGGAAATATTCCTTTGATGCACAAGAAAATGTATTTTTAGTTAAGTGTACTAACCGTGACTGTGGGGGTATCCCTCTACTTTCACTCATTCTTCTGTCAGATCCATAGCTACCCCAACTTTCTCGAGAGTCTCGTGAGTGACGGTCTGGTCCTCCGTGGCGCTCATCTGGGTAATGCTAAAAGGCAAAGAACACTTACAGGACTGCACAAAACAGACTTGTTAATTGCTTAAAGTTGCTCAGCTGTAATTACTCAATCACAGAGTCATTTAGGATGGAAGGGACATCCTGAGATCATCTAGTCCAAGCCTCCTGCTCAAGCAGGATCAGCCAGGGCAGGCTGCCTAGAAGATTCTCCCCCCCTAGGTTTTAAATTTCTTCACAGCTAGAGCCAAGTTCTCCATGCAAACTGTTCCAGCGTTTGACCATCTTCACAGTTAAAGGTGATTTGTATTAACTTTAGATGGAATTTCACGTGTTTAAGTTTGCGCTCATTGACTCGTCTTGTCGGTGGGCACCACTGAGCAGCACCTGGCTACATCCTCCCCATATCCTCTCTCCCTCCCATCAAGTATTAATGCCCATTGATAAGACAAACCCTCAGCCTTCTCTTCTCCTTGCTGAACAGTCGTAGCTCTCTCAGCCTCTCCTCATACAGAAGATTCTCTAGGCCCTACTGCACTTACTCCAATAAGCTTCTTGTACTGAGGAGCCCAGCACTAGGCACAGAACATCAGACAGGTGCTGAGTAAAAAGGCCTTGTCCTTCTAGGAATACTTTTATTAACGCTTCCCTGGATGCTACTGGCTTTCTTTGCCAGGAGGGTGCAATGCTGACTCATTATCAGCTTGCTGTCCACCACAGCGCCAAGGTCCTTCTCTGCAGAACTGCTTTTGGTCTGCTTGGTCCCAAGCATGTATCGCTGCACAGGGTTATTCCTCCCCAGGAGCAGGACTTAGCATTTCCTGTTGTTGAACCTAGTGATATTCCCCTCTGCCCAACTCTCCAGAATATCCAGGTCCCTCCAAATCTCACAGCTTAACCATCAGTAAAGGGCACTTGAGCATTCCCTGACTCTTAATCTCTCACTGCTTGAATGTGCCCTGAAGGTCTTTCTTCCAGCCCTCAAAAAGTGCAAACATCTCTACTAAATTTTGCTGTTATTTCCACGTAACCTCATAGAGGTATACTTTGTACCTCTGCCTCTTCTACGCCATCTTTTGGAATACTCTATTTTGAAGCAATTCACTTGTTTTGATTTCTATCAGAATAACTATATATTTTATAATAAACAAGTCTTTGAATTGAATTTCATCTTATTGAAGTAAATAAGCTAATCTGATTGTTGATACGTATTTTGGGAGATATCATGTAATTCTCAACTACTGAAATTTAATCTGACACACACTATAAAAAAACAGGTTATAAGATGTTAAGATGTTTCCATAGCTCTATAAAGCAACTCACTTGTCCATCCCGATCTCCCATAATTGTCCTCGATCCATCTCTCCTATAAGCAGACAATTAGAATCAGATTGTGGTAGTAAAACATACAGCAGTTTATAAAAATCCATCTATCTATAAACACAGATGAAAAAATCTTACTTTCTCATAGGGCCAACATCTACAAAAGGCACAAACAGCTGGAAAACCAGTTAGTCCTGAGGTATAAACCAGAATATTCTTGTTAAAATGCTAGGTGCCTTCAAATTATTTAGAAATTTTTCAGAATCCTACAAGTATGTGAAACAGCACTGTAAAAAAAAACTCTGAACAAGCCTGCCAGAAGCTTCAACTCATTGCACAATACAGATCTCTTCATGGTTATAGACAAAAAGGTCCACAGCCACTAAACCACACTTGAAAAATAAAATGCAAACCAAGCACACAGTAAAAGGCAGCAAAATGTGACATTAAATACAGTCTTTTGTCTTTCGATTTCAGGCAATACAGTGGAGGTAAGACACCAACCTGTCTATTGAATGCTCTTGGTAACGACCACGGTCTCTGTGATCAAAGTCATGGAAGCGATCCTGGCGACTGAAATCTGAGTGATACCTATCATTCATTGCCATTCGTTTTGCCTCTGGCCAGTACGGATCATCCCTCCTGAGAAAAGAACGTAGTCATTTTAGTCCAGATAATGACTTTTGATATTGTTCCCCCCTCCAAACTAAAGTGCAAACTAGTGCAAACTAAAAGAAGGGTAATTAAGTTCAAAATGGAGTTGAAAAACCTTAGAGAGGATAGCTTGACTAGGGGTCTTAAACAGTCAGCTCAATGCAGTCAACAACTGCTGACTGATGGAAGCTGAGAGCATATGTATGGCTTTTTATAGCCCAGGCTGATGAGAAAGAACCTGGCAGCAATGTCTCCCACTTGCATAATCTGTATTTGCTGGCTTCACCTGCCATCTATGTCATATGGTCTCCTCATTGCAGACCGACGTTCCTGTTCATAGCGCAGTTGCTCATGCTGGCGCCGCAGCTCTTCTCTTTCTCGTTGAATGCGGTCTTGTTCTCTTCTCCTTTCATGCTCTATGTGCATTCGTTCTCTTTCCAGTCTTTCCCTTTCCATCCGTTCTCGTTCAAGACGCTGCCTTTCAATTTCCAGTCTCTCCCGAGCAATCTCAAGCCTCTCCCTTTCTTCTCGTTCACGGATAGTCTGTAGGTGCTGCTGTCTCTCCCGACGCTCACGTGTGCTATTTTAACAGAAACAAAAGGTTACAGATGTAATACTTCAACAAATAAAGGAAGTTAAAAAGAAAAACAAAAAGAAGAAAAAGAGAAAGAAGCGTTAAAAATTAATAGCACAGTGACTGTTCAGCTCCTTGAAATTATACCTGGGAAGGGTGTGGGAGGGAGGGCATGGAGGGAAGACACTCAGTGTACACTGGAATTACTTGTATTAAGAGACCGATCATATTACTCCCACAAAACCCACCTGTGGGGGCAAATAATTCCATATGGTCAGGGGAATTTGAATCCAAATGCCCATAGCTCATTTCTTATACTGAAATAAAGTATCTGTGAAGAATATTTTATTTCTGTCAAGAAAGCCAGAATGGTATGCTGGATAATGACTTCACTCAAGCTCAGAAATCTAACTATGAGAGACAAACTTCTTCCTCTCCATTAAGAATGACAAAAGCATTTTTCTCCTGGTTAATTCAACTACTTTTAGGTGAGGAATAAAAGTTTTGTAATGTGTGGAAAACATGGAATTCAAGTCACAGTTTTAGCAAGGAATTTGAAGGATGGCCATTATGACCTTTATCCTGTATTAAACATCATGAAAACAAAAATAAAACCCCACCCAAAATAAATAAATACCCGAATTAAGTTCAATAGATATGTGACCCAGAAACATTTAACAAGTTGCAAGTGAAAAAAAACCCCTGAAAGCCTCTTATCTCTTAGTCATTTTAATTAAAATGAAAATAAAATATGCATTATAGGGTAAAAAATGTCAAACAATTTCATAGTTGCTCTTACCGGCGCTGCTCTGCCTCCCTCATTTTTCGCTGTGCTTTAATTTTGTCAAATGGCACAATGCCTTGTCTCTCTCTGCTCTCTGATTTGCGATCCTGGCTCTTAATGCTCTGTATTTAATATTGAAAGTAGAGAAACTTAATTTATTAAAGGACAACTATTACAAACAATACTCTAAGCTCTGTTTCCATTTGTACTATCATATCTGAAAGCTTGGTCCCTGCATTTTTCAAAAAAGTTGTTCTTTTTTTAACATTACAGACATGCCATGTATTAACACAGTAATACCTTCCCACATCTGTTCGGCAGGATTTGATTGCTGAATATAGTATCAGCTGAACAAAAAGTATTTTACTAATTAAGATGTAAATCCATGTTATAGAAACTCTAATTGGACAAACTGGCAAGACAAGTGTGGGTTACATGTAGCCTAGCAGGATTCAGTATTTGTTTCTAAGGAAAATATTTCCCACACAGAAACATTACTCACTCTGTCTTTTGATGTAGTTGATGTTTTCACACTAATAACAGGTTCTCCTTTGGATTTATCCATTACTACTGTTCTCTCTGTTCCTTTACTTCCTAAAAAAATCAGAGGTGGAAAAAACAATCAGACTACACAACCTACACCAAACTCATTGCTCTGATAGAAGTTATGTTCTCTAAAATGTGAAAATGGACATCTAACCCTCTCTCCAAAACCAATTATTTCACTACACCTACTCCAAGTGCTTCTTTCAAGGATGACAAAATGTCAAACATCTCCCCCCAAAACACCCTCCCCCTTATACATTCTGGATTTCCAACTAAGAATCAGAAACAATCCTAGAACATTGGCAGTTCTTTGGAAAGAACTACCTAAAATTAAATATTCATACATCAACATATATTTTACTCTATGAAACAACAATAGCCAAATTACCTGACTTAATAGTTTTAGGTTGATCTGATGAACCAGACTTCTGATCATCTTTATCTTTTTTTTCCTTTTCATCTTTGTCTTCTATCTTTTTAGGATCATCTTTTTGGTCAGATTTTTCATCCCTTTTACCACTGCCAGGTCTATAGATAGATATTGATACAGGTTAGACTAATACAGACTAAGAGAAAAGGAAATTCAAGCAGAATGCTAGCAACACACTAAAAAGGTAGAATTCTGATGTGATAACAGTCATAATTAGATTTCCAAACGTTTCCTTCCACAACATCCTACACCAGAAAACAAGACATCCAGACCATCCAGTGCAGTTGTCAAAACACTTGATTCAGGCATCTCAACTGGAAGAATGAGGAAAAATTCACACTATGATGTGCTTAATACCCACAAAGTTTCTTAAACAATGTGACAATTAAGAAGTGCCAATGTGAACCATTTTTGTCAGGCAACTAGCTGAAATAAAAGCAAAAAGTTCTCAGCAAATAGCATTTAACACAAGTTATGCCTCAAGAAGACAACCGAAGCAAAGGTCTTAAGTGTTTTATTCACTCTCCTAGTGTCTTATTCAGTGACTTTCAGTAATGCCAGAGAGAAAAAGCATAGTGCTGTAGAGGAACATGTTCTGGAAACAGGATTTTGGACAACTCTCTTTTAACTGTTTGTGACCACCATCACTGGAGGAGACCCTATTCCAATGAGAGACAAAAAGTAATGAAAAAACAGTGACATACAGATCAAAATCCTCAAACGGTCTTTCCTATAGATTTAAGACATGAAAGCACCACAATTGTTGCTAAAACCTAAACACACCTAAATTAAAAGGTATGCTTGAAACCTTAAAGCACATAACAGAAACATGTTAAACTAGGCACCGAACATCAACAGAAGTTTATCTTATAGAAAAAGTTAAGAAAATGCAGGTACTCCTCTTTTTGAATGTTTGCCACAGAAATGTTTTACTGTAACTTTGTTTTCCCTGACATCAACATAGACTGAAGAACAGCAGAACACCTTTGGACAGAGAATTTTTAGAACAGTACCTCTCACTGACTGTTTCTCTCTTTGCTTCATTCTCTTTTTTTTCACTTGTCTTCTTCCCAGCAGGTTCATTTTTTGCCTGAAATTTATTTTGCACATGATCAGCTGAGAATGTGGTCTCGATCATTTGTACAATCTGATGGGAACTTGGTATCTTTGAGGATAAGTACTCACTTTTTCTACAGAAATTATTTTCCCATGTAACTCTGTTTTGTGGAGATGGGTGATACATTTTGTTGCTTCCTCGGCAGTAGACATTGTAACAAAGCCATAGCAGCGAGCACCAGGACTTCGAGCATTGGTGACCACTTTTGCACCCACCACCTTTCCAAAATAAAGAGGTGTTACACTCACCGTAACAAGCAAGAACTGCAAGCTTTCTACCCTTTTTAATTCCTGCCCATTATCATTCAGGAAACTTCTGTTGTTAAGAGATTAACAAACACAAAGGAGTGTTGCAACGATGCTTCTGTTGTCAGTGAAACACTACAAAAGCTGCATCAATAGATGACAGCCAAAGACTGAATTCTTTTCTGGAGAAAGACCACAAGGGGACAAAAAATAAAAAAAAAGTCGTCTAACTTTACATAAACAACACCACTTTGTTCAAATGTAAAAGAGTAAAAAACAATACAATAGAAGTTTTTAAGCCAATTTCCACCTACATGCTAATGCTAGCTCAACTGCTAAGTCCCATCTTCCCTCAAAAAAATGCTTACATGTCAGTGGTGAGGCAGACCAACCATGTTATCTATCTTCTTTAAGAAACAGGTTTCCTCAAAAAGTAGAGCTTGAAAAAGCCCACATAAATGGTGTTTACTTATGTTCATATATTCAGTACAGCTCACTTTGCATTACAGAAATCAACCATATTTCACAGAAATGTCGTATTTTTAAGTACAGCTGGATGAAGAACCTACTTCCATGCATTTGATTTATTGCACGTGTACATTTACTTCTAGGGAGCTCCGCCTCTGCTAATACCCTAAAGAAAATAACTGTCATTTTATTTAAAGGACTAAATAGTACCATGGCATCTATCTAGAGGCAAATACTAGCTTTGCTGTCACTTAGTTTTTAGTTACATTTAAAATGTTGTGGCACATCTCTATGATCAATGTTCTAGGTTACCAGATAGAATTCTAAGCAAATAAATGGAAGGAAAGCATTGCATTTTTATTGTTATGAGAAGCATTAAAAGGGTTTTACTAGTCTCATGACCTGAAGAAAAACTCAAAGCTTTGCTACACTTAATCCGTTTTTGTACCTATTTGTAAGGTCATATTTAAGTTCCAGAGTATTTTCACTGGTAAAATATTCAGTGGCAGATTGCTTGTACATACCGTTTTCTTTTACTACAATCTCCTGATAGTAATCTTTAAATAGGCTTCAAACGTCTTACAAAAATCCTTAGTGCTGTCTCTAAGTCTTCTATTAAACTAGCTCTTTCCATTTTCCAACCGACAGGAAGATTTAACTTACCATTTTGTCTGTCATTAATAACAACAGCAGGACTTCCCCTGGCAACAAAACCAAACAACCCCTCCTGATATCCCAAGCCATCCAAACAAGTGCTTTCTAAAGCAACTGCCAACTCTACATAAAAATAAAACTTCAGATACCAGGGCAATTCTTAAGATATTCCCCAATAACTGTGTTTCAACACTTCCTGCATATTTTCCCTAGTCCTAAGGCAGTTTTTTATAAACATTAAATGCACCACTGACCGTGAATTTCCAATGAGTAAAGACACTATACTACTGCACAGGAGACAAAAGTATGTGTAAACAGTTACTGACTTTCAAATAAAGGACCGCAAATGGAATTTTATGGTTTTTTTGGAAGCAAGCAACCGAATAAAAAACCCTCAGTCATTCAGTGCATACTTCCGCGATTTTTTCCTTGATATCCCACAATATTTTTGATAATTGGATTCCTTTCACTGGTACTTTCAGTGACAGGAGCTTAAGAAGTCTAATAGTTTCAAGCAAAAAAACCCTCAACAACAAACCAAACGAAAATAACCTCTTACCTTTCCATACTTGCTAAACAGATTCTTCAAATCTGTAGCTCTGGTAGTGGAAGCCAGTCCACTCACCCAGAAGTTTCTACCGGAACTGCTAGCAGTGCGACCTAATTAGGAAAACAAAACCCAGAACATACCCAAAATTCTAATTAGCAACTACTTCTGAATTAAAAAGGAACAATATCACAAATTTTTAATTTTTTAACATCCTAGACCAAGTAAATGCAATGTGTAACATTCTCCTCCCATGATTTGCATCCCTGAAGGCAAGTAGCATTACAAGTCCCAAAACTTGAATAGAACTACAAGTGTTGATACGGAAGTATGTTATATCATTCTTCAAGAAAGCAACTTGACTAGGGTACCCCTGAAGTAACAGAGGCTTTTCAAAATGTACCTGGATAGATACTAATTTTGCACTAACTAGAAAAGATAGAAGACCTGCAAGAGTTGTTAGCAACCACTTATGCTCACGTCTTGCCCTCCTTATCTCCTGAACTCCAAAGGAATGATGATGGGATGCAGAATAACTATACCTCTCAAGGACAGACATTCACCATTAAAAAACCAAGAAAACTGCTCTCCTATTTTTGCCCACACAGACCCCACAGTTCGAATATGAAGTCTGACTTTATTAACAGGAGTTTGAAAAGACCTAGTTTGCTTTAGCCATGCAAGAACTATAGAACACCTGTCCAATTTTGCATCTAAACTAGAAAGATGACTTTTTAAATGCTTATGAACTTGTAAAGTCTGAAAACCCAATGTCTAGTGATTAAAAAGTGTTTGACCTGTACTCAAAGTTTCAGTGTTTGCATTTCAGCATGAAGCACTTAGGTAAGTACTCAGTTACAAGCAAAAGGGTGCAATGCAGACATTCTTAAAAAATGCATAAAAGGAAAATACTTATTCTTCTATGAATAAAGAAAATCCAGAAAGAGGTGAATTTATACTATTTAACAACTGCAGACTGCTATGCTTCTCCTGCTGAAATACCCCATCCAATACACTTATCCAAGCAATCATTAAAGTTCTACTTTTGAAAACAAACATACCTTTCTCATCTTTTGAGATTATCTTTGCATCTCTGTCCTCCTCAACAGGGCTAGAGACAAAACATCATATTATTCAAGTCAGAAACGAAAGTGATTAAATATAAATTATGAAAA